ATATGCTATGACATCAACAAGAGCCAAGGCCAATCACTGTCCCACGTCGGATTACTATTGAAGAACCCTGTATTCAGTCATGGACAGTTGTATGTGACACTATCTAGAGTCACGAATCAGAGGGGTCTGAAGATAATGATTTGTGGTGATGGAGATTTTGACGATAGAAAAACCACGAACGTTGTATATAAGAAGTGTTTAATAATATTTATATTTAGATTTTATTAGTTAATTTTTTCTCAACAATCATGTTATGAATTTTACAATTGTTTTCCTATTTAATAAAACATTTAATAAAAAGATTTCAGTTTCCCGCCATTTAACGTTACAGGGCATGTATTTATAGATCTTTTTTTTTTTAAATAAACACACACCTTATTATTTGCTTGCATTATGCAGATTATTTAATATGATTAGGCAGTTACAATCACGATTTAGATAGTAAAATAATAATTAGTTATTTTCTTATTCTTTTTTATTTTGCTCCATGAATGAATACAACACATACAAATAATTAATACAGCATATACAAATAATTACATTTAATAATAAATTAATTGACCACCCCAAAAAATAAAATAAAAAAATTACAAATACGTTCTTAATTGACCACCCTTAAGCTTCGATTAGACCTGCAAAAAAAAATAAAAATAAAAATCAGTAAACAATACAGGAATGTTATTATTCCATGATTTTAGCACTTGATTTATTCATATTTTACTATTAATTGTCTGTTACAAAATATGGAGAGCAATGGAAAATAAGTGGCGGCAAACTGAATTTTAAACTAAATGAAATGAAATTCAAAAGCATTTAAAAATGGGCGGGTAATCTAATTCTAAATAAAATTCAAATGAAATTTAAAAGCAACAAAAAAAGCGGATGGAATATTATTTGTGGGTTGGATTGTTAGTTACTAAGAACCAAATATCAGTTACAAATTCAGAAAGGAAGGAAAAAGAGAGGGATGCGGAAAAGGGAAAGATAATGTGATATATTACCAATACAATATGAGTGATTTTTGTACGATTTATTATTAATAAATATTTTATACTAAATGTGCCAAAGTGATTTTGACCATACTAAGACTATATATATAGGTCCACCATTCATTCACAACCTTATTGCAATTAACCATCCAAACAAAAACACTCTTCCTCCTACGTTTAAGAAAAATCAGCAATGACATCAATCTTTAACAGTTTGACCTTCTTGTCAAAAAACAAGCATAAGACAGCCAGGCATTGTTTGGTCAGAACCTACCCGCGTTTTTATCAGTCGAACAAAGAAAAAATAAGCGGACATGAATTTGTTTTTCATGATGTGAAGGTATACAATTTTTATACTTCTCTAATATTCAATTAATTTGGTTTTTTTACTGCCATTTCTGGAGGGCGTTGTCTTCTGCTTTGAGATTCAAAGTTGAAATTGTGTTAAACGTTGCATCGAGCGGTATTGCATCACTTTTGTTTCCCGGCGGACGCACTGCTCATTCACGATTCAAAATCCCACTAAACCCAATGGAAGGTTCTACATGCGATACTATCCAGCAGAGTCCTTTGGCCGAACTGATCATACGATGTCGGTTGATCATTTGGGATGAAGCCCCGATGATGAACAAATATTACTTCCAGGCGGTTGACAGCACCTTGCAAGACTTAATGGAAGCAGTTGATCCATCGAGGAAAAATCTCCCATTTGGCGGCAAGTGTGTTGTGTTAGGTGGGGATTTCAGACAGATACTCCCCGTTGTCCCTAAAGGCAGTCGAAGCGACACAGTTAATGCGACCATCAATTCATCCAAGTTGTGGCGCGATTGTATCGTTCTGAGACTTACTCGCAATATGAGGCTTCGAAGCCTTGGTGGGGGCGATGAGTACGATGAGTTGAGGAACTTCTCTGAGTGGCTTGCAAACATCGGCGACGGTACAGTCGGTGAATCGAACGACGGTTGTGTCGATATCGACATCCCCGACGATTTTCTTCTACACTCACAAGGGGATCCTATTGGTATTATTGTTGAGAGTACCTACCCCATGTTCAGGAGTGCAGGTGACGATCTTAGCTATCTGAAGGACAGAGCCATACTCGCTCCCACACTTGATGTGGTTGAGTCCATTAACGAGTGCATGAGCTCACTGAACTCATCCGAGGGAAGGACTTGCTTGAGTTCAGACACCCCGTGCAAGTCAGATGCTGGATATGATTCTCTTCAGGATCTTCACACTCCTGAGTTGCTCAATGGGATCAAGTGCTCTGGCCTTCCGAATCATAAACTGCATTTCAAGGTCGGCACTCCAGTGACGCTTCTCATAAACATTGATCACTCCATGGGGTTGTGCAACGGTACTGTTCATCAATATTCAATTTGTCATCTACATTTCTTTTACCTTTGTACATTTTTGAGTGATATGATTTTGTTTTCCAAGTTTTGATGTCAACAGGTACACAGTTGGTTATCACTAAGCTCAGCAGCCATGTCCTCGAATGAAGAATTTTAACCGGTGTCAGAGCTGGTGACAAGGTTCTTATTCCTAGGCTCGCAATCATACCATCCGATTTGAGGGTACCGTTGAAATTTCAGCGCAAACAATTTCCGCCCATGGTCTCATATGCTATGACTATCAACAAGAGCCAAGGCCAATCACTGTCCCACGTCGGATTACTATTGAAGAACCCTGTATTCAGTCATGGACAGTTGTATGTGGCACTATCTAGAGTCACGAATCAGAGGAGTCTGAAGATAATGATTTGTGGTGATGGAGATTTCGACGATAGAAAAACCACGAACGTTGTATATAAAGAAGTGTTTAATAATATTTAGATTTAGATTTTATTGGTTAACTTTTTTCTCAACGATCATGTTATGAATTTTATAATTGTTTTCTTTTTTTATTTTTTCTTCTATCGTATATTTTTCCGTGCAAGTGCACGGGTCAAAAACTAGTTAAACTCAAATTCGAAGGCAAGGTCCCCACAAGATGAATCCATACAAAACAAAAATTCGTCCCGAGTCATTTTACACATGATTAACTCGATTCAAACTCCATTTTTTCAAATACACGTGTAAAAAGTTATAGATAGTCTACTCAACATATAATAAGCAAATAAAAACGGAACCACAAAGCCAACTCTTCATTTTTTTTTCTTTCTCTTTATATATATGTATATATATATATATATATATTAAATTTTTTCAAATGAGAGTCTTTAAGACGATTATTACCTAGGTTTATCATTGGAGTTTTTTCCTGAATCTCCTAGGCCGATTTTCCGTACTCATTGTCCCGATTTATCTCGAAAGAGACTAACCGGGTCAAGCGGAGTCTCATCCTTTCAACTCTCATGAGCTCATTTTTATTCTTTTTTTTTCTCGTGAGCTTTTTCCAAACGAGGTTTCTGGATGATGATTTTCTAGGTTTAGCCTCGAGGATAGACATGGCCAAAGGGTCTCCCGGCCCACCGACCCGGCCCTGACCCGGCACGGACCCGGCCCGGATTTCAGACGGGCCGTGTAAGGGTCATCCATGTCATGACTCGGCCCGGAGGGTCAGGGTCGGGCCGGGTCGATGACCCTTCTTTTCAATTTTTTTTATTTTATTTTTTTATATTTTTTTTTTTAAAAAAAAGCACGGAACCGGCCCGGACACGGACATGGACCCGACACGAGTATAGGTCTGTGCCGGTTCAGGGTCAGTGTTTTCGAGCCCGGCCCGGGTTTTGGCCATGTCTACTCGAGGATTTCCTCGAGTTTCCTAGACCGATTTCTCGGGCTCATTATCTCATTTCACGAAGTGAATCGAAATAAGAGGAGTCTAATCCGTACTTCCTAGCGAACTCACATTTTATTATATTTTTTTCGAAGGGAGCAGCACAGAAGGATACATCACGATACAATACATTAGCATCAACAATCAATCAAGACGTACCACAAGTGTATAGCATAATACGATTACAACGATCGAACACAAGGCAAGAATGTTTCAAGATCACCAATCAAGAACAAACAAAGGACAAAACAATTCCGTGAATTCAAATGCGAGTTCCAATGCTAACAAATCATCATTTAATTTTAAAGGAACCGTCCAATTCATCAAGTACATAAAACATGAAAATTAACAATGATACCGAACGAAAATCTTAACTCACCACTTAGCCATATTGGCTTTAAACAAACATCAAGCTTCATGTGAGAAAATCGACACAAATACAAAAACAACAACAAAAACCGGTCTATGACACGACAAATACGAAAAATAAAGCACCTAAAACGAAAGAAATACCGCTTAAGCATGCATGATCACAAGCAATATCCTCATTACTTGACCAAAAAGTATAGGATATAGCACATAATCGCACAAGCTCATGCGAGAAAAAAGAGCGAAAAACAATAAATGAAAATAAGAAAAGGAAACAAGCACGGACACAAGCAAAGAAACAAGAGAAAAAGAGAATAGGAAAAAAAAAAAGCGTGTACACTACATGGTGGTGTACCACCTTGTGTCCAATGGTGTTCTTCCGATGGGAATAGAGAAAATAATCCAAAAATCCTCGAGTGCAAAATAAAGTCATCCAAACGATTGTACAATGAAAGCATATCGATCCATAAGGCAACAGGACACTATGACATTTGAAAACATAAGAGAGGTCAAGAATCCCGGAGTGAGCTTTTTTTTTTCTGTTCGATTTTTCTTCTCGAACTACTTGGGACCAAATGTAAGAAACAACAAAAGTTTTGGTACCAAATTTGCAATTTTCTTCAAATTTAAAATAACGACTAACGTCTTAATGAAGAAGACTGTTAAGTCTTGACGGAGTGATACTGTTTTGGCAACGAAAAATCAAAAAAGACCATAAATAGCGTACCTGAGACCAAATGTGGAAAACAACATAAGTTTTAGACCAAATTTGTAATTTTCTCTTATAATTACGAGTTCTACATGTAATCACATAACCGCTGTTACAATATATCCAAAATATCAAATGATTTGATTCCATACTCAATATCAAGTAACATTGATTTGATTGCGATTTGACTCGCCTTACAGGTATATTCACATATATCAAAAGAATTATTTTCAAACATGTGGCAATCATCATTTATGAATAAACCATGTCGTCTAGTTGCTTCATATCAAACTATGATACAAGGTACTCTTCATAAGTTAATTTCAGAAAAGACAGTGCAAACATTATCCAAGCTACCAAACAACACATCAACAGGACCATATTTGATCCGAACAGATGTAACTAAACTTTCTTGCACAAGTGAGACACAATCACATTATTCTAATTAATGATAATCGTGCTGAAAACCGGTCAGTTAAAGAAATGGAAAATATAGGAAAGTCCAAGATTCGAGGTAACAGACGGATCAACGGTGGTCCATATTTCTAATACAATCCCCTATGAAGGTCCACCCAGTGGAAGGTGCATAAACTGTTTCAGGGTGGAAAGAAATGTTTCCAGTCTAGAACCGAATAATCGTAATATCAAATAATCGCACACCTGCACCATTAGAAACACTACTAGGAATCAGTACACAAATGATGCACATTTAAGACGATATGGTCCTTTATGCACGATGCTCATATTTGAAATCATTTCATAGGCAAGGGATAATATGAAAACTACCTCCAATAACTTACATTAAGACAAACTACAGAACATATAGAAATAACAAACCCTCTTAGTTCATAACAGATATCACAAGAAGTCAAGAATGCTTTGTCGACTAATCGAAAACACAATAAATAAAAAATTGTGAATGATAAAACACACACACAGATATATATATATATATATATATATATATATAGTTTTGCAAAATTGATGGGTACCGAAAGAAATGATTCCAAACATCTGTAAAATTCGATCATCTTCTTCTCACAGCAGCACCCTGACCACGACCAGCAATTGCTTGCGGTGTTTGTGTGCCTGGTTGCCCATTACCCTGTTCCTCGGGCATGTTCATGGCCTGAGTCATGGCATTCATGACAATGAGGCCGAGAGGGATCAAGTACATCCACTGCAAATCAGAAATTAAAAGTATATTACTATCTTTTCTCTTTTAAACCCTGTGCAAAAATAGTGTTGGTTACATCAAAAGAAAATAAAGAGCTCTTCAGTTTCAACTCACATATTTAGCCCAAAAGGACCTCTCTGGCGGCTTAGGTTCTTCGCCTTCTATGTTTTCGCCAATAGCTTCTTCTGTGAAGATCGGTGTTCTGCTTCACAAAAATCGACTCATTTATAGTAAAAAAAATTGTAGTGATTAAACAAAAAAATAAAATTAAAAAAAATGGGACTGCATCAGTGTTGAGATCTTTCATTCTGTCCTGGCTACATATCTGCCAAACCATAAAATATGCTCAAGTATATCAATTACATGTAGATCAACAAATAGGTTGTAGGGTGGCAAAGTGGCTCATTTGACGCTTGATGCAGTAGCTCAGCAAACTTCGCCAATGCAGAAGAACAGAATGAAAAAACAATCCATTTTGAGTACTTAGGTTGCAAAAACATGAACTATATTTGGGCTTCAGGGTAAAATTATGCAAATCTGAAGCTCGGATGAGTAGACAAACACCCAGAATTAAAATAAAGAAGTCTTTAAGATAGTTGATTCAAATAAAAGACTTTCTTAAACTAATCAATGTCGGCAAACAATTTAGAAGGGTCATACCTAGGAGCCTGATCACTGCTCTTCAACACCGTATGTGACTTGAAAGTCCACTTTGTGGGCTAAAACCAGAGATAATTGATCATAAAGCTAGACTAATACAATGATTAAGCGGTCATCAACACTCTCGATAGACTTGCAATGACCAATATTCCTTCATAATGATATAATATAAAATAATTGCATAGTAGAAGGATCTACATGTGTTACAGGAGAAGACTTACAGGCTTCAGTTGACGGGGATACGGACACGATCCTGGAGGACCATAATTAACAGCTAAGATATTCACACCTTCCTGTGATCCATAACGATTTACATATATATATATATATAAAGGAGAGAGAGAGAGAGAATAGAAAATAAATAAGTGGATTAATTATAAATACTACGGCAAAGGATAATTAAAAGAGTTGTGTATTGAGAAAATAATAAAGTTATTCTGAAAACCTATTTTCTTTAAGAACATGTTAGCCAAAAGCCTGGCAAACATTACATTCTGATACAAATATATGGAGTCAAACTATGTCTATAAAGTATGAATAAGTGATAGTCCTATTATTACTAGAACACATGTAAATATTCTCCGAAATTTGTTACCATGTGAAAAACAAAATGCTCGTCCAATGCTTCCTGTGGTGAGAGACATCTCTGCAAGACAAACAACAAATTCAATACTACATTGCCGTTGACCACTTTCAGATGAAACATATACAGATAGAAGAATTTGATGGGTCAAATGATTCATGACAAGAAGAAAACAGCTCAAATAGAACAGTCAAACAGAGATGTATTATATATATGTTCTACCAGATATGAGTGCTTATAACAGCACACATACATTCACTTAGTCATGCATTTAGAAAATCATACAGTATGAAATAGCAGATACCTCTCCAACCCCGTTAAGACAGGGCCGGCCATTTTACACTTTGAAATATCAGCTAAGAGGCAGAAAAGTAAGCAATTTAGCATCACTTGAAAAGGAATATAATAAAATGCAAGCAAGCTCATTGAAACTAAAAAGGGTAAAATGCAAAAACTCTATTCTTACATGTCGTCGGGAGCTAAACAAAAAGCATAATTAAAATAAATGTGACGGTCAACTCTCATCAATCCATGGATACACCAAACATGTTCCCCAACTGATCGTACAGATATAATCGACTCAACCAACATACTCAACTCAAACCAATAACCTGTTAAAGTTAGGCACCTAAAAGTTTACTTAGTAATTGATTTATTGAAAGGCATCCAATATTCTGCAGCCAAGCACGCACACTTACAAGCACAAAATAGGCATTCAAGGATGTATTTAAAATCCGTAACATATTCACATTACACTCACCGCCTTCACAGATGAGACTATATACTCTCTTCCAGGTGCACTTAAAACATTGGAAGGCAGTCTTATTTTATAGAAGTCGTCTCCTTCCACGAGTCTCTGTTAGGTCAATCAGAGATAGAAAAATCAAGAAACATCACATTTTATTGGAAGAAATACTCCAATATAATCTTGAACAGATACATATCAGAATTTAGGCATACCTTGAAATTCTCCTTCTCTGTCTCACTGAAGACATTTCTCGAGAATCGAAGCTTTGTAAGTGTCTGTCATTAATCACATATGTCAAATTCCCAACATAAATCAGAAAATAAGTTTTTCAGTAGGCGAAATACATCCAAAGTGCGGCTCAACAGGTTGATTTTCCGTAAAGCATCGATTAATTGACTGTATTGCACTAGTTTTTGCAGTCACATGCATGGCATGAATTTGTATCCTAAAATATACTCAAGCTCACTAAGGCGAAAAAAGCTGCACATGGTTTCAACAAAAGCCATATTTATTCACAATTACACCATTCAGAAGGTGAAAATAGGTCCAGTTTGTTAAGTTTACTTCAACTCCTACATGTACAATGGAATGCCAACTTCACAAAACAGAAGTACAAGATTCGCAACAAATCACTATCCATTGCCTCCTTCAGCATCCTAATATTATTTTTTTTCTGCCTTTTCACTATGATTCAGAGGATGTAATAAATAAGACCCGCTCAACTAAAATGGTTATAGTAAAAAATGATAAGCACGAAGAGTAAAAAAAATGTCACCAAACTATTTCCTCTTCAGTAACAAAAATAACATGATCTTATTAGCCCTTAATAAGTCCAGCCGCAATTTTATCCAGTAAATCCCCCATCGATAGCTCAATAGACACATCAAATTTCACCCAAATTCGGTGCAGTACAGTAACTATCACCAACTCGTTCTAGGTTTTCGCGCTACCTGACCGCCGTGCGACGACGTTTTGAGGCGAGCCCAAAATGTTCCGGCGGGTGTGAAATCGGAATCCCCGAAAGCGTGTTCGAGGGTGAATTGAATTCTAGAGTCCGGATCCGAACCCGAATCGAGCGACCTCTTGCGATACGCTGGAGGAGTTGAAACTGGTCGGGTTGCTACTGGCGGGTCTGGAGATCGGCCGCCCTCGAGCCCGAACTCTTCATCGTCGATGAGGAGCTCGTCGGATTGGAAAGCTAAGGACGCCGTCCACATGAAAAGGTAAACGCATAGGAGGAGAAACCAATTGATCTGAGGAGATGGACCACTGGTTCCCATGGCTGAGACGAAATTGTACTTCGCATACACTGACGATAGTCCGTATGCTTCTGTGATTCAGTGCTGAGACGAAATTGTACTTCGCATACACAGAAGAGGGTCCGTATGCTTCTGTGATTCAGTTCTGCGTGAATGTTGGAAAATAAGTCCGTGCTTGTGTAAAAAAGAAACACAAACCAAAAAATTAAAAAAAAAACAAT